TAGTTCTTGGGTCAAGCGATTCAATCGGTCGAACCACTGGTCAGAACGATGACATCATCATATCCAAAATCTAGCAAACACACCCTTGAGAAATTACGCATTAGTCTCTAAAGGTTTGAAATCTAGCAAACACACCCTTGAGATCTGGCTAAATGAAAATCTGTGTTTGACTAGTTGGGCAATGATGTCACACCAGGGAGAGCAGGGTTGGGACTTTGGGCGTAGGTAGGGAAGGCGTATGACAATAGTCGCAAGGTTGGCATCATGTGTCAGTGATGAGTGTTGGAAATGCTTATTAGTGATTTGGGGATGAGATTATAGGGAATTTATGGTTTAATGCATTATTTATGATGAAATTCCTTGCACGTTTCGTTATCTTCCAAAATCACGGGTTTGTTTGTGTTTTCAAGAATTCAAGTGTAAAATTGATTATTCATACATGTGCTGATGTTCGCACTATTTGGACCCATGTGAGTGNAGAGATTTAGTAGAAATGAGGTATGCATGTTATATGTATGTTATTGAGAAATTGAGTAGAGATATATGTCTACTTGTTGAGAAATTAAATTGAGATAAGTATTTATGTTGAGTTTGTTGGATACTTTTCCTTTATAAGAAGTGTGGATGTGTGATGAGTTGAGATGAAGTTAGATGAGATTGAGTATATATTTTGGAAGTGTTCTTTTATGGAAGGGATTATGCCCATTGAAGGGAGTTTACTTCCAATTTTGGATGGTTAAAAAGAGACATAGAGTTGTAAGTAGAGAAGAGTTTGATATGCACACGAATTGTTTGATGAAATGCCTAAGAGAAGCATAAGGATGAGTTATGAACCTTAATTATTGCAACATTTCATATTGGCATTTCCTAAGTGCATTAATGAGCATGAACCATCCCTATGCATTAATTATGCATTGAGAAGAATTTGAGAAAGAATTGAGGAGTAGAGAATTACTCTAAGAGTTAAGCTACATTCTGATGAGTAGCTAGAGAAAGAATAGAGATCTTGTGCACAAGCTACTCTAAGAGCTAAAGAAGAGAATAGATTAAGTTGTGAGATGGGGAACCCGTGAGTGATGAGTAGAGTCACGAGAGTGGGGGCTTTGTGATCCCCAGCCGTACCTCTGGTCAGATGGGGTCGTGACCATCACGTAGAGTGGAACATGAGATTCCAGCCGTGCCCTAGGTAAGAAAGGGTCGTGACAGTTAAGAGATATAGAGAAAGAATGTACACTCACATGGCCAAGGGTTTCGAATCCATGCATGGCCAAATCCGATCAGTAGAGAAAGGAGCAGAAGTCACGTAGAGTGGTAGCGCCTAGCCGTGCCTCCGGTCAGATGAGGCCGTGACATTCCAATGAGTAAGAATGAGAAACAAAGGTATAGAAAGAACAAAAAGAGAAAAAGAGTAAAGTCACGAAAAGCGGGTTGAGTTCTCGGCCGTGCCTCCGGTAAGATGAGGCCGTGACATACACCAGAGGTGTATAGCAAAGAATATGAGAAACAGAAACAAAAAGAGAACAGAGATGAGAAAAGAATAGTGTAAGGAAAGAATTAAGAGAAAGTGTTACAGGGATAGACAAGTAGAGTATTTACTTACTGAGCATTAGTTGTGCTCACCCCGTTGTTTCTATGTTTTTGCAGGTTCCAGGTGAGCACGTAGTCGGATGGACGTCAGCGGGTGAGGGAGAGTAGTTACACTATCCACCAAACTTTTGAGAACTTTTGTACATGATACTAAATTTATGTAAAGACTATGTATATTAAATGAAAGAAAACTTTTGGGCCCAACTATTTTTATTAATGTACCTTTAGTTTATTGTATGTGTTTTATGAATACAGTAGTATAAAGCAATTATTACAGGGATGGACAAATACTTTCAGTGCATCTCTCTTGCTGGATATTTGTGCGTTGATGCTCAAGATAGGTGTAGTTGTCTTGAGTTTGGACATTGTTGTAAAAGATTGTATATTCTTGGTCCTCATGTTTGTTTTGACTAGCTTGGTCCCTTGGGTTTTCAAGGATTGTGTCGCTAGTGGGGATGTCCCTGTTTAGGTTGTTATTCTTTATTCTTTATAAAATTATTAGTTTACTGAAAAAAAATCATCCATAATTAGCTGATATTATTAAATGTCGTAATGTATCAACAGAGACCATAAGCTTTGAAAATTATTTTTCAAAGAGTTTGGATGGTGGGATTTTTATCAATTTTTTAATACCTGACTCGAGGATTGAACTGGCTAAGGGGCTAGTTCTTGGGTCAAGCGATTCAATCGATCGAACCATTGGTCAGATCGATGACATCATCATATCCAAAATCCAGCAAACACACCCTTGAGAAATTACGCATCAGTCTTTAAAGGTTTGAAATCTAGTAAACACATCTTTGAGATCTGGCCAAATGAAAATCTACGTTTCACTAGTTGGGCGGTGATGGCACACTAAGGAGAGCAGGGTTGGGACGTTGGGCGTAGGTACGGAAGGCGTATGACAATAGTCGCAAGGTTGGCATCATGCTTTAGTGATGAGTGTTGGAAATGCTTATATATTTAGTGATTTGGGGATGAGATTGTAGGGAATTTATGGTTTAATGCATTATTTATGATGAAATTCCTTGCACGTTTCGTTATCTTCCAAAATCACGGGTTTGTTTATGTTTTCAAGAATTCAAGTGTAAAATTGATCATTCATACATGTGCTAATGTTCAGACTATTTGGAGCCATATGAGTGTAGATGAATCAAGACAACAAGAAGGAAAGTGGAACTTTAGGGTTGCGCCGCAACGCAGTTTACTACGTCGCGATGCAAATCGACATAATCCTAGATGCGCCGTGGTGAAGATATATGGTGCTGCAGCATGGTACAGGTTTTTTCGAAGCACAAATCGCCCAGAGTTGCGCCGTGGTGGCATAAAACCACATTGCAACGCCAATCGTGCAAATGTAAAAATTGTGCATTTTCAACCCTAATTTGACCTTCCAATATTTACCAAATTGCCATTATTTGTAAAAACTATATAAGGGTAGTTAAATTCATATTTTAAGGAGGAATACACATTTGGGGATTGGAATTCATTTGGGGCTAACTTGGAAAAGAGGAGCTTGGAGAGGAGAGGAGAGGAGGTTCTCCTCCTCTCCCTTTCCTTTGCTCTTCACAAACCTTTATAACTTCCAGGTGTTGTTCTTTCTTTTCTTTTATGCTGTTAGTTTGTTTTTCTAGGGATTTAATGTAATCTAATTGAAGGCTTGTGTTTTATTATATTCTATTTGTTTGATCTATTCAACATGTTCTAGATTCATTCATTGCGTTTAATTCAACCTTTAGTTGATATTGGTTGTTTTCTTTAAGATCGTTTTGTTCTTAATGAATTTTTAGTAATTAGACCAGACTATACACCCTAGCTAGTTTAATGATGAAAATACTAGGTTAATAAAGAATGCCCTATGGTAATACCTTAAAAACGAAAGACGCCTTGCCTATCTTGATTAGCTCTGTGAATGGATGATTTGTGTCTATGCGAATTGGTTCTTTGTTTAGTGCTCTAGATCTTAATGGGTGTAGAAAGAGGGTTAATTATAAACGCCTTACGGTAACATCCTAAGCTTAGTGTTATACATTAATACCTTGAAAAGACAAGAGTACGAACCCTAGAATAGAGTGGAGAGAACAACAGTTTGATAATGAACACGTAGCTGGATAATTATGATGGAGTTAAAGACCTAGATTTTTCTATAGATAATTAGATTTAGAGTCCTTTAATATTGTTTATGTGTTTTCGTAATTTCTTTTTAGTTATTTCACAAGGCATAGTTCTTAGGATTATTAGAGCACTTATAGTCTCTGTGGAATTGACCCTTGCTTTTGCACTATATTGCAATTGCGATTCTCGCACTTGAGAGGAATAGAATTTTGTCTACCAGTCAGTGATCACGCGACGCTGCATGTTGTCATGAGATCACGTGATGGGGCGCAATAAGGCACCCCTTGGTGTCTTCAGGTGCGTGGTGTCGCTCTTTGAGCGTGAGTTTGCGCAAAAGGTAGGAGCGGGTCTAGAAATGGGGCTTGTCGCGGCTTGAGCGAGGGTCGCAGACCACCAAGGGGTGGACGGCAGTCAGATGAGGGTGTGGGGTAAGTGGGAGGGGGCAGGGGGCAGGGGCACGGGAAAGTGGCCAAAAGTGAGTTTTAAGGATTTAATTTTGTAATCTGGTTTTGGCACAAGGGCCGGTTAAACCGGCAGTCCGTTGTTGTTTCACCGATCCATTCACGGGCCAAATTGGGTTAAATGTAAAATCAGTTTTTAGGGGGTGATCGGCCTAAAGAAGGCCCCGGTTCTCGGTCTGATCAATCGAACTAGCTGGGCCAAGTTGTGTTTTAAAACAGTGATTTTTATTAAAAAAATTCAAATTAAATGATATATAATATTACTATATTAGTTTCTCAATAAAGAGTTACACTATTAAGAAAACAAATTATTTTACAAGATACCATAACTTTTAAATACTAAATTTATACTAATAATTGGTTTTGCGTGTAAATGTTTTTTTTTTATTTTTTATTTCATAACAATCAATTAAAGTGTCCGAAAGTTGTAAAATCATGTAGGAAAAAAAATACTCATACTCTACTGTCATATTTGGATAACGACGTCCTCTAATGACTTTAGAAACTAACATATTAAATGGGAGGAAGTTTACCTCATCTACTCAAATTAAAAGGAATCCAGAGCAACTATATTAATTAATCTTATATTAGTCAATTTAAACAATATATCATATATTCTAGCAAAACAAATAAAGAAAAAGAATGGAGTGACTGATGAGTTGCGACGGTTAGGTGAAGCACATGCTTCAATCTTCCAGTCAAACAACTTTAAAATAAATTGCTCCAGTTAAATTATGGGCTGCAAGTAGAATTAGGCAGTTATCACGTGTTTCAACTGTATAGTCTTTCCTTAGATCTACTACTTCAACGAAACTATAAAAGCACACATAATCTTGGTCACAAATTATATAGCGTGTTCAAGAAAGAAAAAAAGAAATTTAAATAAAAACACTGATAACTTGTTCAAGAATGGTTACATCAGTGGCACCTCGAGTTGAGAGTTTGGCGAGCAGTGGGATTCAAGCAATCCCAAAAGAATATGTTCGGCCACAGGAAGAGTTAGCGAGCATTGGCAACATTTTTGACGAGGAAAAGAAAGATGAAGGGCCTCAAGTTCCAACCATTGATCTTAAAGAAATTGATTCAGAGGACCCAGTGGTTCGTGAGAAATGTCGGGAAGAGCTGAAAAAAGCTGCCACCGATTGGGGTGTTATGCACCTCGTTAACCATGGAATTCCTGATGAACTTACTGAGCGCGTGAAGAAAGCGGGGGAGACGTTTTTTGAGCTTCCTCTTGAGGAGAAAGAGAAATATGCTAACGACCAGGCCTCTGGAAAAATTCAAGGTTATGGAAGCAAGCTTGCTAATAATGCTAGTGGGCAGCTTGAGTGGGAGGATTATTTCTTCCATCTTATTTTTCCTGAAGAGAAGAGGGATTTGTCAATTTGGCCTAAGACCCCAGCTGACTATACGTAAGTTCTTTTTTTTTACTTATTAAATTCATTATGATAATGAACAAATTATATATACTTGACATTTGACTTTTGTTTTAGTTACTTCTATGCTATACTGGACTCGGACAATGTCTATATATCTGTCAGTTTTTATTTGTTCCTTCAGGAAACCCAAATTTCTGAGCAATCGTTTTTATTCTTTTAGTTGAGTGAGATAAACAACATCTATACTTGTTAGAATTTATCTATTACAATATATATATATTTTTTTTTTGGGTTAATAACAATATTCCTTTTTAAATATAATTAAATAACAATTTTTTTTGCTATAGTTATAATAATAAGATAAATTCCTCTACTATAGTTATATCTATACTTGTCTGTTTTTCTTTTTGAATTTCTCAAAGAAAATTTTGTTATTTGATTAAGCCTGATGTGACTGAGTCAAAAACTTTTTCCTTAATTTGGTCTTTCTTAATTTTGTTTATCATTTATTATATATTTAATCCTATATCAACTATTTCTGATTCTAAAGATTTGGAAATTTAAACATGTAACTATATATGCAGAGTGGCCACTAGCGAATATGCAAGGCTACTTAGAAGCCTGGCAACCAAAATTATGTCAGTGTTATCAATTGGGTTGGGATTAGAAGAGGGAAGGTTGGAAAAAGAAGTTGGCGGAATTGAAGAACTTCTCCTTCAAATGAAGATCAACTATTATCCTAAGTGCCCTCAACCAGAACTGGCTCTTGGTGTTGAGGCTCACACAGACATTAGTGCACTCACTTTCATTCTCCACAACATGGTTCCCGGCCTGCAACTTTTCTACGAAGGGAAGTGGGTCACTGCAAAATGTGTTCCAAACTCCATCATCATGCACATTGGTGACACCATTGAAATTCTGAGCAATGGCAAGTACAAGAGTATTCTTCACAGGGGACTTGTTAACAAGGAGAAAGTCAGGATTTCGTGGGCTGTTTTCTGTGAGCCACCCAAGGAAAAGATTGTCCTTAAGCCTCTGCCGGAAACTGTGTCCGAGACTGAGCCTCCATTGTTCCCTCCTCGCACTTTTCAGCAGCATATTCAGCACAAGCTGTTTAGGAAGGCTCAACAATCTCTCCTCTCTAAAGAAGGCTAAAATTAATGGTCGTTGCATATCTTGTTATTTTTATGCGTTATGCTAAGTTGTTTATGAGCACGGTGGTCCGTGTTAATGCCTTTACTGTGGCAGGTAGAGGCCATAATGTGTGATTGCTTTCTTCAATAATAAATCTCATTATATTGTTCTTTGAAGAACTACAAACTTTTATTGATAGGTAAGTACACTTACCATTTAGAGGCTTGACTTTCTGAGGGTTTTCACAAACTGGTCACAAAATTTGATTAAATAATAAAGAATCTGCTTTCTGTCAATTGGTAACCGACATTCGGGGTTGATGTTCCGAGAATGAGAATTATGTTTTCAGTTCAAATCTTTCCCCCTTTTTCAACTTCTTTGGATATTTGTGGGCACTTAACATAATTGAAAGCTTTATTTCTTTGTTCGCTTGGTGCCAAAAGAAATATATATTAGTGATAATAGAGCTACAGAGGTCTGCATATATCCTACCCAGTACAAGACAAGCACAACAAGGTTACAATGAGAAACTGATCCAATTTCACTAACATCATTATAAAATTTAGGTTAGGATAAATCTCAACCCACTATTACAGTTCTAATTTAACAAACAATACCTCTGCTTTCTGGAAGTAGCATAGGCACCTCAAAAATACGATGAAGAATGCTTGAACCACATTTCCAATATTTTACATACCTATATGCCGCTGTTTCCTACCCATATTTTACAAGGTTCAGGCGTTGAATAATTCAATATATCAAATTTTCAACTGATGAATCACACTACCTGCTGTGAACCAATGTTGGTTTTCTGTTTAATGACTTTCAAAAGCCATTACTAAACTAAATGAATAGTCCCTTCACTCAAGATGGACCACTGACCACGAGGAAGCCTTCAAGTTAAACATAATCAGCACCTCCAATGCATCAAAGCATTATGGAGTAGCAATGCACAATGGGCAGACAACACAACATTATCCAATTGAAATAGCTCTTTTGGCACATGAGGTTAATTTTAAAACACATCAAGACCAGCATCACCAATCTCACCACGTACCAAATGCTTCACCATTTCCTTTTCATCAATGAGCGCCCCACATCCAACGTTAATTATCACTCCTTCCTTTCCCAAAACAGTCATTACATCCTCGTTAATTATGTGGTAAGTTTCTTCTGTAAGTGCACAACAAACAACAAGCACAGCAGTATTCACTGCAAGCTCATAGACATCTGCGTAATAAGGGAATAGGATAGCTGATTTCTTCGTTCTGGAGTTAAAAGAAATGATGGAGCCAAAGGCCTGAAGTCTTTTTACAACTTCAGAGCCAATCTTTCCCATCCCAACTCGCTTTCCTCCTAACTGAAACCCTAAATTCATAACCAATAAATCATGCCTAATGAAAAGCAAGTTATTCGTATCAGATTCTAGATTAAATGCAACATTGTTTCAGCAAAATAGTTATATATATTGGTATATGGAAATCTTTTATGTAAAACTTAAACATTGTTACTCTGAACTAAAACATAGGTAGCATAGCAAACCCCACTTCCAGTGGAAAAAAAAAGCATGAATTCATTAGGTAAATCTAACAGGGTTAAACCTTAATTGCATGAAACAGAGACTACAAAAATCCAAGAACTTCGATGAAATTCTGACCCAATTAAAAAGATGTGAGTTGTGAGTAAGGTTAAACCTTAGAGCCCAGCGCGTAATCACATGTTTTAGCCCAGGAGGAGGCCCGAAGGAAGCGGTCACCGGCAGAATTTTTTCGTAAAACATCGATCAAGAGGCCAAAGACAAAGTCAGCGACATCCTCAGAGAAGGCAATGCCAGCATCAGTAACAGTAATGCCACGTCGGCGACACTCGGGGAGGTCGATGTGGTCAACGCCGACGCTGGACCCCACGATGAGTTTTAAGGCTGGGAGGAGATGGGTGTGGGGTCCACGCAGAGGAGGACCAGCATGTTGTGGGCATGTTGTGAAAGGAAAGGAGGGGAGAGTGGGTTGAATCGGGCTGAGTCAAGGGGATCGAAAAGGTTGAATTGAGTTGCTAAACGGTGTTTGAATGGGAAGTGAAAGGTTGTTGGTCGATGAACTAGGACTAGTGGACATTGACTTCTTCATCCATTGAATTTCGCTTGATGGGGGGTTGCTTTGCAGCTCAACAAATAATGTCAGAAGAATATTCCTTTCTAGAAACAAGAAATACCACCGTAGCAAAATTTAAAAATATCATATCCGTTTTTTACTTTAAACTGGGGAGAACGGCATTTTCCGACCGGCAAAACGACGCTTTCCACCGTTAGTTCGATGATCTTATGTTTATCGTTAATATTTTATTAAAAAATAAAAATACTTTTAAATATTAGATTTTATAAATTTTTTATTATTTTTTAATTAATCAAAATATCAAATATTAAAAAAGAAAAAAAAATAGCTAACCCCACCTAAAAGCTAAGAGTACTGATATAAAATTATTTTAAGTTAAATGATCTTAATATTTATTTATTTATAATTTCATCAATATCTTATCACTAGTATTTAATAATCTATTAAATTTATAATGTTTTTTATAATACAATATTTTTTAGTTTTACTAATTAACATAGAAAATCAATATTCCTAATTAATTAAATAAATAAAGAGAAAAAATATCTTTACACTTGAATATAATCATTTGACTTAACTAAATTTTAATTTATAATAAACTATTTAAAGGTATTTTTGTCTTTTCAATCAAATATTAATAGAAACTACTAACAGAACCTGATTAAAGGTCGGAAAGTGTCATTTGTAACTTGACGGGTGGAAAAGGTCGTTTTGCCAAACCTCGGGTGAGAAAATGTCGTTCTCCCTTTAAAATATTATGATAAAATTATTATTAGGGATGATATTTAAGATCCATCCAAACTCCTTTTAAGCTTTAAATTTAATTAAGAATAAATAAATTTTAATTTATTTAAAATTACCTTTTTCCTAATATATTTTAACTTCTCTAATTTTTTAAAAAAAAAATTTTCTTAAAAACTCATGATTGAGAAACAGTTAGAATATCTATAAAAACAAATAAAAACAAGATAGGAAATAATATTTCTTGTTATGATTTTGTATAAGAAATATTTTTTCAAATCTTTGTTTTGTTATTTTATGGGTTTTCATAACTTTTCTAAAGCATAATTATATTGGAGTAAAAATTTATTCACTTCCAAAAAATAAACAAGTAAAAGAAGGAAAAAAAATTCAAGAAGGAATTGTTTTTGGACAAATCTGTTGTTTATTAATCATGATTAAATAAATGAGAAGTGAAGGAAAAGATTATGAAACTAGAGAAATTTAAAAGAAAAAAAAAAGACTAGGAAAAAGGTTAATTTTGGAATAAAATAACTATATTTAAATTTAATTGATTTTGAGACTTAAAAAGAGATTAGGTGGGTGTTAAATAACACCAGTCAATTATTACAATTGTCGTATCTGAAATTGGTTTAGGTATTTTAGTGAAAACAATGGGTTAATTACAGATTAGTCTCTATGGTTTGGACCAACTATTCAGGACAGCTGTATTTTTAACAAGCAAAATAGTCCCTGAAAGTGGACAGTGCCAGAGTCAGGTTGACGTATGAGAGGTGGTTTTGTCTTTTGGTCTGAGTTATACCCTTGCTGACATCCGAGGACATTTCTATTTTTTAGTAGCAAAATCATCCCGTAAACAAGAAAATCTATTAGACAATCTCCTTTTACAAACATCAAATATCAAATTGGTGTAACTTTCACACCAAATTGGTATAACTTTTAGTAGGGCTATAAACAAAAAAAACCGAAAACCGAATTGAACAGAAAAATCAGACCAAAACCGATCTGAAAAACCAGTTATCCGTAGTAACCGGTTCGGTTTCGATTTATAAAATTAAATAAACCGAAAAACCGGTTCGGTTAATAGTTTAAAAATTAATTTTAAACGGTTAACCGATACCGGTTTTGCAAACCGGTTTATATATAAAGCTCAAATCTCTAAAAGCCCAAATCCCTAAACTTATATATATAATATATATAAAATCCAAATCCCTAAGCTTATAATCTCCCTTTTCGTTCCCTCTTTCCCTGATATTTTCCTTCTCTCTAATTCTTTCCTCCTTCCCCAAAATTTTCTCCTCTCTCCGATTCCAAACATTTACTTTTATTCAATGTCAAAGTGTCGACACAATCACACAACAAACTCCATTCCCTCTTCTCTCCCTTTCGGCGATTCCCTTCACTTCTCTCCGGTTCTCTCCTTACTTCCTTTTCAAATTTCTAGGGTTTGTTTTCCTCACTTTTATTTTTTAAATTAATCTCTTAATTAGTTAATTTTTCTTTCGCTTTACTGTGCCTTTACCTTTGTCGACTTGCACTTTACGGTGATAACGAATTGGTCGCCATTTTTAGTCTTCAATTAGCACAAAACCACGATGGCGCACGACCAGAAATCACAGGCAAAAGCGTTTTCGAGTTCATAGATGCGATTCTTTTAATTTTTATGTGTTTTGTTGGTTTTGTTGAAAGTTTTGATTTTGGGTGTGTGGAGTGCGGAAATTTGGAGTGTTGTATTTTATTTTTTAATACTTTAATGATCAATTTATATTTTTAGTACCTGTTACTTGAAGAAGTGGATGATTATAATTTGTTTTTGGCTGTGGGTTTTTTTTTTTCCTAGTGAAACTAGTTTCTACTGGCTGTATTTGATTTTTTGGGTAAGTTTGAATAATCGGTTAACCAGTTTCCGAACCGAATTATCGGTTCGGTTACAAATCAGTTTATGGGATAATTCGGTCCGGTTTCGGTTTGGCATGTTGCTTGAACCGAAAAACTGGTTCGGTTCAAAAAACACCCCATCCGGTTCGGTTAACCGGATTTCCACACCCCTAACTTTTAGTATATTTCATTATTACATTTTCAATTCATTACACCAAAGAAAATATTCCTTAGAGTATTTTCTTTCTTTTTCTTTCTATTAATAATCAATAATTTATTTTAGTAATTATTTTTGTATATATTAAATAAATATTAGAAATGATATTTTTATTAAATAATAACTTTGAAAATTATACTAATTTAATAAACTTAATCAAATAAACATTACATCTAATATAAAAAAAATATTACATCTAATATAAAAAAAACATTACATCTAATATAAAATGCCACCAAAAAATAAAAAAACAACATAAAAGTAAAATTTTATATTAATAGTAATTTAATTTTCTGGTAAATTTTTTAAAATAAATATCAAAATAACTCTAGTTCTTTCTAATATTTTGATGAGGATCCGGAACTAATCTACCAGAATACTAAATTGTTATTTTAGTTTATATTGTATTTTCTTTTAATTTTAGTGTTTTTAAATTAGTGTTAATTTATTTTTCAGTTATTGTAGTTTAATATTTGCATTGAATGAGGTTTTTTTTTTTTTTTTTTTTTTAATTTTTCATCATTTTTTGAATTATATAATTATTATGAATTTATTATTATAAATATAAATATAAATAATAATCAAATTAACATAAATACAAATATAAAAAATTAAATATAAAAAATAAGGAAATAAAATATGTTTTGTGGTAGATGAATAATGTCACACAAAATTGGTGTGGATGAATAGTGTTGCACCAAATTTGGTGTGATACTATTCATTTACACCAATTTGTATGGCTTTTGGTGTATGGTTGGAGCAAAATTTTCACACCATTTTGGTATTTTACATCAAAATGGTGTCCAGTTGGAGATGCCCTTAATCCTTATAGTTTGGCTATAGTGTTGAGTTGAGTTCGAGCTCGCCCGATTTCGGATCAACAAGCTCAAGCTCAAAAAGTTCGATTGGGAAAGTGTAAATTAGGAGAATTGGAGAGATTTTTTTTTGGTGAGCTCGAGCTTGATTAGGCTAGAGCTTGAACTTGAATTTTCAAAGTTGAGCTTGAATTTTCAAGCTCGAACTTAAATTTTCAACGTTGAGCTCGACACTGTAGCGAACGAGCTCAGCTCAATTAGCCCAAAGCTTGGCTTAACTCAACTCGTTTACACCCCTAGTTGTAGATGGAAAGGTAGGGTGGGTTAGTAGGCATGATGGAAGCGTGGGGTGGGTTTACTGGGTATCAAAGAAAGGTAGGTGGAGGGGGCATAACTACTACTAGGTCAAGGAGGGGACTACTAGGCTGGTTATTGTTTGGTTGTGAATTTTACCCTAAACCCTCAGTATTCGTCAGTATTTGGGATGAGCTTCATTCTGGTCTTGAACATCGGATAAAATAGGGGATGCTAGTACCATTCCCTAGCAGCTCGAACCTCGAGCCCTGGGGCAAGGGATTAAGGAAATAGAGTAGGAGTGGGCATGCTACGAGCTCTATCAAAAATTGAGTATCAAATAAACACAATAACATATATTCAACATGCATTTTTCATAAACCAAACCTTGAGAAGAGCTCCCCCCTAAACTATGAACTCTTCTTCCAAATATGCATTTTTCAAACGTGAATTTTAAGCACAAATGCTCCCCCTTTTACTAAGCATATTCTCAACAAACACTTCAATTTATACAAACAATTCACAAAAATCACAAACACAAAACAACTTTAATATATACATACATTATCAACAACACTTCTATATCATCACACAATATCAACACTTCAATAACACAACACAACCAACAACAACTCAATTTCCATATTTTCTCTACCCTTTTTTGTCATCAATAAAAAAGATACAACATCAAAGGATGGATGAAAAGAAATAAGTATAAAAGCATTCATTTGCATTTATATATTAATATGAAGTACAAAAGTAAAGATAAGGGTCCAACAGACACTAATGTTTCCCAATGTGCAAAATAAAGTAAAAAGATAAAGACCTAAATTGAAAATTAAAAATTGTAAAAAAATAAATAAAGATACAAAAACTGAAAAAGTTTTGAAAAACAACAAAAATGGGCTAATGGTCTTGAGGTGGAGATGGTGGAGGGAATGGTGGAAGTTTATCCATCAACCAAGACAGAGAATAGAGAGCATTTTTTATTCCCTTTAGTTGATTTTCAATATCCCAAAACTTTGGATCTAAATATGCTTTCATTCTTTCAACCTCATCCGAAGGAGTTGAACTTGGTCCAACT